GACCCAAAAAAAAAACGACAGTGGTACCCCTTTCGTTTTTTTTTCGGGTCGAAATTTTGAGTTTCGATATCTCAGCTCTGGAAGGGTCTAGAGCCTCCATTTTTGCACTCAGGTCTAATTCTCAGGGCCCTCTATCATAATCCAGAGTTTCAAGAAGATCAGAGAAAGTCAAAATTTTGACCCGAAAAAAAAACGACAGTGGTACCCCTTTCGTTTTTTTTTTCTGGTCGAAATTTTGAGGTTCGATATCTCAGCTCTGGAAGGGTCTAGAGCCTCCATTTTTGCACTCAGGTCTAATTCTCAGGACCCTCTATCATAATCCAGAGTTTCAAGAAGATCAGAGAAAGTCAAAATTTCGACTCAAAAAAAAAAACGACAGTGGTACCCCTTTCGGTTTTTTTTTCGGGTCGAAATTTTGAGTTTCGATATTTCAGCTCTGGAAGGGTCTAGAGCCTCCATTTTTGCACTCAGGTCTAATTCTCAGGACCCTCTATCATAATCCAGAGTTTCAAGAAGATCAGAGAAAGTCAAAATTTCGACCCCAAAAAAAAAACGACAGTGGAACCCCTTTCGGTTTTTTTTCGGGTCGAAATTTTGAGTTTCGATATTTCAGCTCTGGAAGGGTCTAGAGCCTCATTTTTTGCACTCAGGTCTAAGTCTCATGGCCGTCTATCAGAATCCAGAGTTTTAAGAGGATCAGAGAAACTCAAAATTTTGACCCGAAAAAAAAAACGACAGTGGTACCCCTTTCGTTTTTTTTTCGGGTCGAAATTTTGAGTTTCGATATCTCAGCTCTGGAAGGGTCTAGAGCCTCCATTTTTGCACTCAGGTCTAAGTCTCATGGCCCTCTATCAGAATCCGGAGTTTTTAAGAGGATCAGAGAAAGTCAAAATTTTGACCCGAAAAAAAAACGACAGTGGTACCCCTTTCATTTTTTTTTCGGGTCGAAATTTTGAGTTTCGATATCTCAGCTCTGGAAGGGTCTAGAGCCTCCATTTTTGCACTCAGGTCTAATTCTCAGGACCCTCTATCATAATCCAAAGTTTCAAGAAGATCAGAGAAAGTCAAAATTTCGACTCAAAAAAAAAAAACGACAGTGGTACCCCTTTCGGTTTTTTTTTCGGGTCGAAATTTTGAGTTTCGATATTTCAGCTCTGGAAGAGTCTAGAGCCTCCATTTTTGCACTTAGGTCTAATTCTAAGGGCCCTCTATCATAATCCAGAGTTTCAAGAAAATCAGAGAAAGTCAAAATTTCGACCCCGAAAAAAAAACGACAGTGGTACCCCTTTCGTTTTTTTTTCGGGTCGAAATTTTGAGTTTCGATGTCTCAGCTCTGGAAGGGTCTAGAGCCTCCATTTTTGCACTCAGGTCTAATTCTCAGGACCCTCTATCATAATCCAGAGTTTCAAGAAGATCAGAGAAAGTCAAAATTTCGATCCCAAAAAAAAAACGACAGTGGAACCCCTTTCGGTTTTTTTTCGGGTCGAAATTTTGAGTTTCGATATTTCAGCTCTGGAAGGGTCTAGAGCCTCATTTTTTGCACTCAGGTCTAAGTCTCATGGCCGTCTATCAGAATCCAGAGTTTTAAGAGGATCAGAGAAACTCAAAATTTTGACCCGAAAAAAAAAACGACAGTGGTACCCCTTTCGTTTTTTTTTCGGGTCGAAATTTTGAGTTTCGATATCTCAGCTCTGGAAGGGTCTAGAGCCTCCATTTTTGCACTCAGGTCTAAGTCTCATGGCCCTCTATCAGAATCCGGAGTTTTTAAGAGGATCAGAGAAAGTCAAAATTTTGACCCGAAAAAAAAACGACAGTGGTACCCCTTTCATTTTTTTTTCGGGTCGAAATTTTGAGTTTCGATATCTCAGCTCTGGAAGGGTCTAGAGCCTCCATTTTTGCACTCAGGTCTAATTCTCAGGACCCTCTATCATAATCCAAAGTTTCAAGAAGATCAGAGAAAGTCAAAATTTCGACCCAAAAAAAAAAACGACAGTGGTACCCCTTTCGGTTTTTTTTCGGGTCGAAATTTTGAGTTTCGATATTTCAGCTCTGGAAGGGTCTAGAGCCTCCATTTTTGCACTCAGGTCTAATTCTCAGGGCCCTCTATCATAATCCAGAGTTTCAAGAAGATCAGAGAAAGTCAAATTTTCGACCCAAAAAAAAAACGACAGTGGTACCCCTTTCGGTTTTTTTTCGGGTTTAAATTTTGAGTTTCGATATCTCAGCTCTGGAAGGGTCTAGAGCCTCCATTTTTGCACTCAGGTCTAAGTCTCATGGCCCTCTATCAGAATCCAGAGTTTCAAGAAGATCAGAGAAAGTCAAAATTTCGACCTAGAAAGAATCTAGACCCTTCCAGAGCTGAGATATCGAAACTCAAATTTTTGAGTTTCTCTGATCCTCTTGAAACTCTGGATTCTGATAGAGGGCCATGAGACTTAGACCTGAGTGCAAAAATGGAGGCTCTAGACCCTTCCAGAGCTGAGATATCGAAACTAAAAATTTCGACCTGAAAAAAAAACGAAAGGGGTACCACTGTCGTTTTTTTTTTTTTTGGGTCGAAATTTTGACTTTCTCTGATCTTCTTGAAACTCTGGATTATGATAGAGGGCCCTGAGAATAAGACCTGAGTGCAAAAATGGAGGCTCTAGACCCTTCCAGAGCTGAGATATCGAAACTCAAAATTTCGACCCGAAAAAAAAACGAAAGGGGTGTACCACTGTCGTTTTTTTTTGGGTCGAAATTTTGACTTTCTCTGATCTTCTTGAAACTCTAGATTCTGATAGAGGGCCATGAGACTTAGACCTGAGTGCAAAAATGGAGGCTATAGACCCTTTCAGAGCTGAGATATCGAAACTCAAAATTTCGACCCGAAAAAAAAAAGAAAGGGGTACCACTGTCGTTTTTTTTTCGGGTCAAAATTTTGAGTTTCTCTGATCCTCTTAAAAACTCTGGATTCTGATAGAGGGCCATGAGACTTAGACCTGAGTGCAAAACCGGAGTCTCTAGACCCTTCCAGAGCTGAGATATCGAAACTCAAAATTTCGACCCGAAAAAAAAACGAAAGGGGTACCACTGTCGTTTTTTTTTTCGGGTCAAAATTTTGACTTTCTCTGATCTTCTTGAAACTCTGGATTATGATAGAGGGCCCTGAGAATTAGACCTGAGTGCAAAAATGGAGGCTCTAGACCCTTCCAGAGCTGAGATATCGAAACTCAAAATTTCGATCCGAAAAAAAAACGAAAGGGGTACCACTGTCGTTTTTTTTTTCGGGTCAAAATTTTGAGTTTCTCTGATCCTCTTGAAACTCTGGATTATGATAGAGGGCCATGAGACTTAGACCTGAGTGCAAAAATGGAGGCTCTAGACCCTTCCAGAGCTGAGATATCGAAACTCAAAATTTAAACCCGAAAAAAAAACGAAAGGGGTACCACTGTCGTTTTTTTTTTTCGGGTCGAAATTTTGACTTTCTCTGATCTTCTTGAAACTCTGGATTATGATAGAGGGCCCTGATAATTAGATCTTAGTGCAAAAATGGAGGCTCTAGACCCTTCCAGAGCTGAGATATCGAAACTCAAAATTTCGACCCGAAAAAAAAACGAAAGGGGTACGTACCACTGTCGTTTTTTTTTTTTTTCGGGTCAAAATTTTGAGTTTTTCTGATCCTCTTGAAACTCTGGATTCTGATAGAGGTCCATGAGACTTAGACCTGAGTGCAAACATGGAGGCTCTAGACCCTTCCAGAGCTGAGATATCGAAACTCAAAATTTCGACCTGAAAAAAAAGCGAAAGGGGTACCACTGTCGTTTTTTTTTTTTTCGGGTCAAAATTTTGAGTTTCTCTGATCCTCTTAAAAACTCTGGATTCTGATAGAAAAAAAAAAACGACAGTGGTACCCCTTTCGTTTTTTTTTCAGGTCGAAATTTTTAGTTTCGATATCTCAGCTCTGGAAGGGTCTAGAGCCTCCATTTTTGCACTCAGGTCTAAGTCTCATGGCCCTCTATCAGAATCCAGAGTTTCAAGAGGATCAGAGAAACTCAAAAATTTGAGTTTCGATATCTCAGCTCTGGAAGGGTCTAGATTCTTTCTAGGTCGAAATTTTGACTTTCTCTGATCTTCTTGAAACTCTGGATTATGATAGAGGGCCTGAGAATTAGACCTGAGTGCAAAAATGGAGGCTCTAGACCATTCCAGAGCTGAGATATCGAAACTCAAAATTTCGACCCGAAAAAAAAAAACGACAGTGTTACCCCTGTCGTTTTTTTGGTGCGAAAAAATAAGTTTCTCCAATCTTCTTGAAACTCTGGATTCTGATAGAGGGCCATGGGACGTAGACCTGAGTGCAAAAATAGAGTCTGTAGACCCTTCCTGAGCTGAGATATTGAGATCACACGTAGCCTGCCTGCAATCTATTGAATGTGGATTTGGTTAGTGTATTTTTTGGACATTTTAATTAAAGTTCCTGTCATGATAAAAACTATCTTACTGCACTCAGGGGAGCCCCCTGAGTCTGTGGCACCAAGCACCATCCCATAATTCCACCGTCCACGAACCCACTATTTTTATAATGGCATAAATGCTACATGGGATCTCAATATCTCAGCTCAGGGAGGGTCTAGAGACTCCATTTTTGCACTCAGGTCTAAGTCTCATGGCCCTCTATCAGAATCCAGAGTTTTAAGAAGATTAGAGAAATTTTTTTTTTAGAGAAAAACATTTAGAAAAGTACTGTAAATTTAAACTGGGGAATAAGGTTTTTAGGATATTTATAATTGTTTTTAAAACAAAGAAACATGACAAAATAGAATTTGTCACATGATATGTCAGATTTCATGTTTTGAATTTCTCTCAACATTTCTCTCAAAATATTTTGCTGATAATACAATTATAATGATTATTTATAATGAATTATAAAGATATTTATATTAAATAAGAAAAATCTAAAACCAAAGGAATTTATTTGCTTGTGGTCTTCAATGTTTATTGTGATGGTTCATTCATACCGTAACTGAGACAGGCGTTTTCTTTAATCTCTATGTTCTGGTAGCACTCTTCTGATGAAGTACTGTCTGAATCATTCTCATCTGCAAAGCACAGAAGAATTCACACGCTTCCTTATCAAAATACACTGTTGCCAATATTGTTGTATTGTAAAAACAAAAAGGTACCTCGACTGTGGGCACGAGGAACACGACAGCCGCTGTAACCAGCAGTGTTTCCTGTCATCTGAGTGCTGTGGGGTGTCTGTAGTGACTTCTCAAGAAGTGATGGGCTTTCCTCGTCTTCTGCAGAAGACAGATCCCTGAGGTTTTTAGCTGACGGGATGAATCCTCAGAATGCTTATTGACAATACCCATCAAACTTCATTTTAAAGGAAGAGTTCATTTCAAAATGAAAATTGTTTCATCATTTACTCACCCTCAAGTTGTTTCAAACCTGTAGGAATATCTTTCTTCTGCTGAACACAAAAGAAGATATTTCGAAGAATGTCGATAACCAAACAGTTGATGGACCCCATTGACTTCCATAGTATTTGTTTCCTAATATGGAAGTTAATGGGATCTTTCAGGTCTGGTTACCAACATTCTTCAAAATATTTGTCTTTTTGTTCAGCAGAAGAAGTGAAATTCACACAGGTTTGAAACAATTTGAGGGTGAGAAAATTCAGAATTTTCTTTTTTGGGTGGAGTATCCCTTTAAATTGCTTTATATGAGCCTACCACAGTGCAGATTCTTGTCCATATACGTCTCTGTGTTTTGATAGCACTCGAATGAAGATGTACTGTCTGAATCATTCACATCTACAGCTGAAGACAAAGAGAATTCATCAATCTGATATGTATTTCCAAACTACAAGATACTGTTTACCCTTAAAGGCAAGAGAAATATTTAAAATCAGAGTGATAATCAGAGCTTTACCTTGACTGTCAGTGTCTGCTAATAACACAGTGTCACCATAAGACAGGGGTGCATACTGTGAATTTTCATGCATCGATGCCACGTCCTCACCTTCATGAAGGGGAAAAAGATATTAGAAATATTAGTAAACACCTTACGCATGTTCCCTCTGCATTAAAATGACACAAATTGACCTAACGTATGATTTATTTTTGCATACGTGACTTGAAATTGTTGTCTCTGTCGGCCTCTGTGTTTTGATAGAACTCTCCAGATGATGTACTGCTTGAATCATTCACATCTGCTAGAGACAAAACAGGGTCCATAAATTTGAAATGTATTTCCCTACTAAAAAATGGAACTCCTCAGAGGGGAAATATCTGAAATCGAAGGCTTCAATCAGCTTTACCGTTACACTCAGTTCCTGGTGAGTTATGGTCACCATAAGACAGGTGTGTCAATGGTGACTTTTCATGAAGTGACGGTGTTTCCGCACCTTCATACAGGAAAAACATTTCATTGTTAGTATTTTATGAATATTCACAATAATAAAAATACTCATTCTATTCAATTAATATTATGATACATACATCTAGACATGTTCTCTCTGCATTAATCAAATGAAGGTGCATCAAAATATCAAATGAACCTGAAATATGATTTATTTGTGCATACGTGACTTAAGAATGTTGTCCTCTTCGGTTTGGGTGTTTTGATAGAACTCTCCAGAAGATGTACTGCTTGAATCATTCACATCTACTGCTTTGTATAGAGCAAAAATAAAGTGATACTTTTCTAAATGTACATTTCTTACTAAAAGTTGTATAAATATGGTCACATTTTAGACCTTGACTGTGGGTGTCAGGGACACCAAAAAACAGCAGTGTCAGTGGGGGTTTATTACCTTCAGAACAAAGATACTATAAAATATAAGTCATTTTTGGTAAAAGTAAAATATCCCAAAAATCCAATTGATTTATTTGTTTATACCTGACTTGACGGCGTCCATGTTGATTTCTACGTCGTGTGTATATCTTTCTCCACGCCATGAACTGTCTACATCATTCATATCTCCTGCAAGACAGTGAAGAATTCATACATATCAAATGTGGTTCTCCAAGAGGAAACTCCTGAACCTGCATACAGTATATTTTCTTTCACATGGCCTTCTGCCATACATCTAAATGTAAAGATAATAATACTCTGATAAAACATCAGATCCTACATTTTAATATTCATGTCCAAATAGGATCAGCTGATGAGTTTTTTTTTTGTTTTTTTTTGAGAGAGAAATTCTCAGACTCCACTGCTTTAGTTATGTGGGCCCAATATACTTTGATATATAATCTATATAATATAATCTTTGATGACAACTTAGGATTTTTTTCTTTAACAAAGTACTACTGGCCAGACAAAAAAAAACTACTGGTAAGACAAAAAAGTATTACCTCTGCTGGGACTGAAATATTGAGGCTGGACAACTTGGAACTTAAATTGAAAACCCATCCCAATATAGAAAGGCTGTTGATGGCACTTTTGTACATCTGCTCTCACAACAAAACATACTTTGACTTGTTTCATAAGGGAGATGTCAGAAGCTGGAGCTGCTCAGTAGTTGCACTGATAGTGGTTTAGTTTAATATGAACTAAAGTACAGAGGGAAAAACATTCTCCACTGACCTGAACAGACTTTTTTTTTTATATGTAAAAATGGCTTATGCCAGTAGTATCTGTTTACTGATTCTCTGTTGTGACTTTTCTTGATGCGTGTCATTTTAAATAAGGACTGATTATATGTTGGTGGTCATTTGCAGTAGAAGTGTTGTCTGTAAAAAGCGGCATACTTGGAGAGTTGTTTAGATGCAGTCTTTGCGGTCGAATGCTGTTCTGATGTTCATAGTCTGAATCAGTGTCAGAGTTGTGAGTGGCTTGATTTTGGAATTTACGGCCATAGTTTGAGCTCATTCTCGGGCCAAGACTTTCTGAGGAATGAAAAACAGAAAGTGCACATTTAAGTCAAATTTAAAGTTTTACCATTATTACAGAAATTACAATCTCATATATATATATCATTATAGATCTAATGTGATTGTGGTGTAACCCATATTTTATGAAATAAATTTAAAAAATCATAAAATATGGGTTGGGATGGGTATTAATGACAAATTTCATGCTTCAATTTCGATTGACAAACTTGTGATTTAATTTAATTCCGATTTAAGTTGATTTTGATTAATTTACATATCATGTACAGAATATGTCAAATTTTCTCAAGGGAAAAAATGTCTCAAATGCTGTAAACTAATCAAAGAACCCTGTTAGTTGGTACAATACTATACCTTTAAACATTAAAATTGACTGATTTATATCAAAAAAGCAATCTGTCATGTAACATTAAAGAGCGCCAAAACTGTATTTATTGATTGAATATCGTAATAAAATTGTAAATGAGAATCGATTAAAATCGACAGATCGATATGTAGGCAACTAAATAGTAAAAAAAAAAAAAAAAAAAAAAACAGTTATGAGGATGTAGAAATAAAATATATTGCAATACAAACCGTACTGCTCCCCCCTGACAGCCGAGACAATTTGTGTGTTATAGACTCCTATCTGTACATTGGACTGGTCCTCCAGGCTTCTGTGGGAATTACTGTGATCTTGATGTATCACACATGCTGTTAGCAAAGAGGATGAAAAAGAATGACTTAAACTTCCCCATGCAGCACTAAGCCTCTGCCTTAAGCTTTTCTATTGCTGTAGTACCGTAATTAATGTCAAAAGAAAATGTTCACAAAAGTTTTGACTGCATATTCTATGAAAAAGCATTTCCTGATATTTGGATGGAATGCACTACATGCACACAGAAATTGGCCAAGAAATGAGTGAGTGAGTCAATTTGAAGTTTATAACAATACAAATTTTTAAAAATGTAAGTGTTGTACTACTCAGAGATGTTCTTGGAGTTAGAAAATCTATTTAATTTAGTTCTAAGCAAACTTGTTTCTTATTTCCTTTCCGATACCACTTTGATATTTTGTCATCTAAAGCAACAAATAATTTTGCAATGAGCGCTTTTGAAAATAAAAAGTGATCATAATGTACTTGCCCTTTGCTCTTTGGAAATGTATACAGACAGCAGCATTTATAATAATAAACATAAGTAAAACAATAGATAAGATGATGCAGGCAATCGCTGCTGCTGAAACTCCACTGCTGCGCTCTGTTACTGCCACTGCGGTTGACACAAAAATGAACAGAGAAGGTTTTATTGACAGAAATCACGCAGACTTCTTTTCATGAATTTTCTCTTTTGAAAAAGAAGAAACTGAAGCATCACCTGCCACCAGTGTTGTTAACGCCAGCTCGGTTGTGCTGCCTGTGGGTGTGATCTCAACACTTTCTGTATGGAAGACATTTAATCCACTGGATACATCAAAGGAATACAAGACTTGTCACTCAGGATTTCACAACAAAACACGAACAAGCTGAAGCTTAGATATGTGTGCTTTGACATTTCAGAAATACTGTTGTAAGCCTGCTCTACTTTTAACCTATTTTCAGCCCAACTGATGTGGAAATTATGTCCATCCACCCTCAAAAGTTAAATCTGACCTACAAATGAGACTAAAAGCTGAAACAAATTATGTTAATGTCACATACTACAACCTCAAATACACACAGGAAATGTGACATTTGGCTCAAAAAGCTAGTTTCTGCATCCCAATTCACATACTATCCATCCTAAATAGTATTTTATAGTCCAAAATCGTGGTATGTTAGTACTCCACAGATACCTGGATGGTCTACTTTTTCCAGTTAAAATTCAAAGTGCAGATCCATGCACACTCTAATGGCTCATTTTGCCCACAACCCATTGTGCATTAGACGAGGATTCGATTAGAACTACAAACACTAATAAAAAAAGTGTTAAAAACTACAAATGTGGCGAATGTGCGACTCCGACGGTTCAGTAGAGATTTAGATGAAGGATTTGAGCGATTGATACTCATTATCTAGCCTAGTGAAAAACTATTTATTTATTGTTGTCCACCATATATTTAATCTACAATAGCATCTTTTAAATGCATCATTATGCAAACATGAGGAGAGTTCTCCATATGATAAGACACATGCCTGCCAAACCAACGTGCTCACCAAAATGGTAGGAAATTAAATTAAATGTGGAGAATTTTAACTCTGACAAGGCAGTTTAAAAGGTGTCAAATAATTATTATGACTAAGTAGTATGTCTATATACTTTCAGGCCATAGTATAAGTAGGTGAATTGGGAAGCAGTGAATATCTACACATCAAATGTTAAAATGAAGATGAAATTGCACCTTTTAACTTTCCAACTGCACGATTCATCCGTGCATGTTATTCCAAATAAAATCTTTGTAATCTTTAATCTAAATATAATAACTTGCTTTCCTTTCAATTTACATCATTCAGGCCTTAAGGACAGCTTGGATAATGTTTGTAACAATTGCCAACTGCCTATTATATACTGTTTAAAAAAATAACCATTCTGCTATGTCCACGTTTTTCCATCCAATCAATTCCCACCCTACATATTTTCTAATTGAAAATCCTGTTCCCCCAAATATGCCACTCCCAACTCCCAAATATGCCACATCACGGAAGTAAAATGGGTTGCAAACTTGAATTCACCTTGACTTACAATATAAAATTCTTTATTTGTGTAGAAAAGAGTAGTGTTTTATGTTATGAAGCACTTGCCCATTAAGTGTACATGTGTATAGTACCTGAACACACAATGCCAGCGTCTTCCTTATGTCCACAATAGTTTCCAGTGTTGTCGATGGGGTCGCACTCCCATAAGTTGCTCTCTGTGCCGTTGCATCTCATTTTGCTGATGTGGATGACTCCGCTGCCAACCCCAAAATGGGCCACTCTAACTGCACTGCCACATTTCAGCTGAGCACATATTACTTGTCCACTTATGATTTTAAAATCTTCATTACACACCGTTCCCCATTGACCAAAATGCGACAGCTCCACCCGTCCTGCACAGCGATCACGTCCTCCGGTCAATCTGACAGCCTCTGGAGGACAAAGGTTAGGCCGATCAAATCTCTAATAAAGCATTGAGACAAAAGTAGATCACTTATCAGAAAATCTCAGATGACTCACCGCAAATTACTTCAGTTGCATTTGTGCAGTCGCCTTCTGCGGCTGTAGTGCAGTTGTGCAGATTTGAGTCTTTCAAGATGCAGTTTGCAAGACAAGTGCCATTGTGCACAGTTGCAGTCGTGCCGATCTCAAGACTGTGGCCACAACCAACAAGTTCACAGATTTGGAGAGCAAGCTCTTTCTTTTTCTCAGCATCCAGAAGATTGAGGGTCACATGGACTGTAGTGTTCTGGTGAGGCGCCCTGAGCACACCAGAGCAGCCTTTGGACAGACTTAGTGTGGAGAGCTCAACTAGATCAGAAGGGGAAAAGGGACATAATTGATTTAATTTACTAAATTCATGAGAATGATAGGAACAGTTAGGGTAGATGATTCACATTTATATCTTCACAGCATGCTGGGTTGAGTCAGAAACTTTTCCAGCATCGCATCCTGGCATTGATCTTATCGGAGTGTTTATTCTGTTTTCAGTGTGTATTTCTAGCACTAGACTTTTATTTAGATCCAAACTGCAAAGTGAATGTAAACCGTGGGGCATTGTTTTGTGTTGCAAAATGTTGTAGCAGTACACTGCAACACAGCCACATCCCGTGAGTCACTTCCTGTGGAAATGTCATATTGTAGCATGGAGGACACTGGGGAAAGAACTTTTTTTTAGAAAGTTTATGACATTGCCTCAATAGTGTGGTTTGAGCATATGAAGTTCTCCTGATTTATGACTACAGGATGCAGATTGTGTCTGTGTATTCTGTTTGTGGAATTATGATTCATTCTGAAGGTCCTTCTTTAGGGTGAGTTTTCAATGGGGTCAGAGGTCACTGGTCTGATGTTCCACTGTTGGTGATGAAATACACTAGCATTCAAAGGTTTGGGGTCAGTATGTTTTTTTTTTTTAATTTATTCAGAAAAACATTTTAAATTGATTTCGATTTAAATTTTAAACATCTATTTCAAACGAATGCCATTCTTTCTATTCATCTAAGAATCCTGAAAATTTTTTATCAAGGTTTCCACAAACTGATTTCAACATGGTTATTAATACGACTTGTTTCTGGAGCACCACATCAGCATGTAAGAATGATTGAAGGATCATGTGAAACTGAAGACTGGAGTTATTTGCCATCACAGGAATAAATTACATTTTAAAATATATTAAAATAGAAAATATTCTTTTAAATTGAAATAATATTTTTTACAGCATTACATGTGTTTTTGATCAAGCATAAAATGAATTTCAACAAAACAAAATCTTACAGACCCACTCTAGGCAGTTGATGCAGAATCATATATATCTCACACTTTCCAAAAAATAGGGTACAAAATAGGTTGACACTCAAAAAAAGTTTAGCAAATGGTCGATGACAGGAGGTGCCGAAATCTGTCGAAAATGTTAATCATTAACCTTTAGGAGTTCATTTTAAAAATGATACGAGTGTCATTTTATTTTCTGTTAATTTTCTCCAATGTTTGCAACTTTTACAACCCTTTTAACAATTTGTGGTGTGAAAAATAGTTGTGAGTGGAATAATACAGTATAAAGTAATACTGACGTAACAAGGTCACGGCTTTGAACACGGCTCAACCAATCGGAACCAATGACAGAAACTATCAGTTTAATAATACTACTTAAACCATTATTTATTTAAACATTAAATAACCATCAAAATGTGTAAAATAAATAATAAAAAATATCACTTAATGGGGACTTGCAAGTTTGGATACAAATTAATAAAGTAAATAACAATAATAAAGTAAATAATATCACATTTTCAAGTAGATAATTTATATTTTAATAAAATCTCTTTTTTTACAATAATTTGAATAACAGGATTCATACTGGATACCACAAATAAAGCAATATTTTTTATAAATTGGGAAAATGAAAATTTTTACCCGTCTTCTCAAACCACTTAGTAATTGTATAATTTTAACGGACTGTCAATAGAATATAAATTCAACAATAGATTGTCAAAATGACGACATCATTATGTTTAATTGTTGGATACAGTCGAGACACAAGGGTTTTCAAATGAACTTTTCTGTGGGACTCCAGCTTCTCTTTGCCTTCTTCATGTCTAATGTCTTTGTGATTGCGTTGGGCATTACTTGCACATATTAAACAGCGCTTAATGATTTTAAAATGAATTCTACGGTGCAAAAAAAAAAATGAAGCGGCTGTCTCTGGGGGGTAGATTGCTCTCAGTTTTTTTGCTGATCTCTTCTCTCTGTTTTGTTTGATGATAGCAGATGGGTCTCAGCAGGCCTACCCCAAACACTGTTCTCATGCATATTGTTCATCAACATCTTGATTAACTGCTTGATTCCTCTGTGGCCCACTTTTAAATGAGATCATCGTGAGATTGCTGCTAACTGCACCCACTGATAACACTGATCTAGACATGATATTTCCAAAGGAAAGTCACAAGTTTTCTTAAGAGTAGAGGAAATCAGTCAACTTACTCTGTATGTCAGGATGATCAGCATGCTTTGCCACACTCTTGGAAGAAAGGTCATCTGTACCATTGAGCCCTGAAGATGACAAGATGAACATCATGCTGAGAACATATTGCTTGAAGCCAGGGGGCAAAAACTGCCAATAAAGTGCAAAAGTAGAACAGAGCGCTCCAATCTAACATCTTCAAATCTGCCGTAATTATTCACGGTCTACAAAGACAATATTCATCAAAGACAACAGCAATGAGACACTGTTGAACAAGACGCATTAAAAGAACTCAGCTCAACATAAAAAATTTTAAAAAATATGTTCTGCAAAACTTCGGTAATGTTTGTGTTGGGTTACAAAGTTCGCATCGCATTTGAAGATTTTATCATGGTGGGAAAATGAATAAATATATAGGCCTACAATGTCCTGTGGTGTGAAGTAAACGCGTAGATATTTGCCATTTTTACACAATATGAAGAAGACTTAATAATAAAGTTAAGTTATTGTAGAGATTAATAACTATAGGACTAATTCTTGAAACCCTGCTGTGTTAAAACAGACTATATAAAATAGCTGTTGATCAGGTATTTCAACACCGCTTGGTTGTATTTCAACACATTAGTTTCTCCATCTGTCTCACATAAACGGCAGAAACTCAGAGCTGATGCTCGTCTTGGTCATTATACTCAAAAAGCCACAGAATAAAATTGATTTTTTTAAAAATGCATTTGTGAAACTATTTAAATGTTCTCAGGGAATCTAAAAATACAGATTTCTGTTAAAAAAAAACTGTTCGTAAGCCTATGTCTGCTTTTGGCACTTTGCGCTTTTCTCACAAAATCAAATAAATGTAAAAAGTTTATGTTTATAATTAATAATTTAATATGCTTTAGGAGACTATTTGTTGTATTACAAAATAAGAGACGTAATTATTACATAAACATGAACAAATAAAATCTCATACACACTCAAATATATAAAATATATTTGTGAGAATGTTGTGAGATTATTTGCAAACTTTTTTTTAAGATTAACAGATATTTTATATTGACCAATCTTATTCATCAAAACACAATTTGTATTATGATGTACTATTTCTGTTCGGATCCCATCTGCGCTATGCATTCTTTATAGCAAAACACTGCAGGAAAATATAACATTTGTCTTATTCTACTATTGAAACACTTTTCTATAAATGCAAGGCATTGTAAAATGTCTCCTCGCCATGTTAATAACATGCTTGTTGGACACAAAAACTAAAATGGACTGTGAAGGAAAATTCAGCGATATGATTTGTTTCTTTTATTTTTAGCCATCTTGTGCATTTGACTTAAAAATGAAATGAAGTCAACTTTCTTCATTCAATCTCCTGTGAAGTTCAGCTTATTTATTCACCAATGTGTCACAGTACACTAAAGTGCATAAACCAATCTCCGGTTGCACTTTGTGCAAACAGCTCTTTGGAAAAGCGTTGTAATGAGCCGAGGCATTGAAGTACTTTCTTTTGTCAAAAAAAGCCTTCAGATTGCATTGTGCTGCATTAGTTAAACTGAACTTTGTTTTAACCACAAAGCATGTCTTACAAAAAAAAGTCTTTTGATTGAAAGTGCACATTTGATTTTCCATCTATGATAGTGATTGTCTCTCAAGAGCTATTGTGCAACAGCCTTTGAGAATTGTACAACCTCTCTACTCAAGTATCATCAACTTAATAGACTTTTTAAATGGTACATTGGAATATGTTAAAAAACAAAATGTTCGAATATAGAATATAATATCGCCGTTGAACACAAGCTCTTCAGATGAAAGACCCAGTCTGCCTACACAACCATACATCAGAACCATTTTACCTTGAGAAAAGGACAACGCCTGGAGAACAACACACAGCAGCAGAAGCGGCATCTCTCAGTCAGTCAGCCTAACAGCCAAAGATTTGTCTTTGTCCCGTAACTCTCCGTTACTCTGACTGATGCTCGTGACCCTGCACCTTCAGCCTTTGGTGTCTGTGCAGTTGCTGCATGTGGTTTCCACTACGGGGCGAATTCGAGCATCATGCCTCACACATGCATTCACTACCACAAACACACCCTTTGCCACCGTCACAGGTCAAGTGCACGTTTGCAGTGTTAAACCTATAAACTTTTGCTTCATATTTCACTACTTTAAAATGTTTCAGTGGATAATGGAGTTTTTTTTCCCCCTTTAATTTCCCTATAGTTCATTTGTAGACTTGCATTGAGTTTCTTTGAATGTTTAAACAAAAGGCTCAAGCTAGGATGAATCGATTAAGCGTTCATCATGAAGCCCAATTATATGAAAGTCTTCAATTCATCACTGGCATGCAATTAATGAACTGAAAGGGACAATGAATAGCTGTATGTTGTTGAATAGTCTGTTATTACCGTCAAGCCTAAATTGCAAACAGTGTTGGCGTCTAAGACTTCAAAGCAGACCCTCCTGCACTTGTGTTCACTGTCCTAGACTTCAAGCAAGATGTCCATTAATTTATCCTATTGGATTTCTACTGCATTACAGAGAAACTGGTGGTCATGGCCCAAAATTGTTTGTTTTTGTTTTTTTCTGATATGAGAGCAAAAAATAGCTCAAAGCAAATAATAAAATTCATAGAACAAAACAAGCTTTTAGAATGGAGGAGAAAAGGTTTCCCATTTCTTTTGCTGTTGACATCAAAGGCCATGTGTCCAATCAAATGTTTTTTTGATGTAAATTCATGTCATTTGGTCCAAGCCAGCCAAATTAGGCAGATGCCAACATGGACAGGTTGCATGACATACCTTCATCTTTAAAAAGCAGGGATGAAATTGCGCAAGGTGAAAAGAAAATATTTACCTAGACTAAAAACCTATACCAAAATGTATTTAAAATATATTTATTTCATACTAAGGATACTACAAATCCATTATACATATCGCTTGAGACTTACTAATATAAATACTATAATTCAACTTTTTTGAAGTACTTCTTTATTGCACAATGCATGCGCATGTATTGATATTAAGCCTAAAATGTGTTTTAATATCACTATTAGTATGAGGATAGTATGATCTCTGTATAACATCATCAGTCTTTAAATGCAAGAGATTTTAAGTGTACCTCAAGTATTACTGTGAAATAGTTTGACTTTAACTCAATCAAATATTATAAAAATTATAATTATAAAATAATATATCAAATTACTCTTTGGACCTCAGCACTATTTACGGGTATAAAGTGCATCAAGTGTAAAAGAAGTTGTTCCAATTTAGCAGACTTTAAAGGAAAACTCTGGCACAAAATTAACCTTTGGTTAATTAATAACACATTGGTATCTAGTCGACCGTTCTCTGGGATTTGTTGTCATGATAATCGAATGTAAAGAGTTTTATCTCTAAAAACTGTTTAGAGTATAACGCTATTATATAGGGCATAAAATAAGTAAAAAGAAATCGCTAGTTAAAGGTTCTCTAAGCGATCCTGGGTGTTGACGTTCGGAATATTTTCAAACAAATCGGAGGCTAGCTAGACCCTCCCTCCTCCGCATCTCATCTCCTCCCCCTCCCTTCCGTGCTTCCTGAAATAATTGTGAACGTGCATAGTTCTAGCTAATTGTCTCCTTGTGTGGGTTTGGCGAACATAAGCGTCAATTTAAAAGAAAAAAACAATTTAACGTTACCCACCAGTTCTCGCCATCGTTCAAAAGCTTTGCTACCGATGTAAATTCGGAACTTCGCACGTTCTTTATCCAACTCCTTCTTTTTAATTTGTTCTTCAGAACGACGTCTCTTTGGTCGTGTCAGTCATTTTTCAAACTTCCCTCTGATGCTTCTATCTCCTTCACACACACACACCCCCTTCATGTGCATGCGCACTAACCCCCCCAGACCCACCTTCAAATACTTCTTGCCAGTGATTGGCTGGAACACTGTTTGTTAGGTTTCGTGGTCCGGGTGAGACATGATTGTTTTTGTTGCCGTTTGTGGAGCCTGTGGTGTCTACAGAGACAGCGTTTTTTTACAGTGTGTTTAGGGGACAGGCAGCTAGCCGATAGTGAGGAGACGTTTGATGTATGTGACAAAAAATGTTTTGGCCCCACATCGCTTAGAGAACCTTTAATACCACTAACAAGGCTCAAAATAGCCCCACACTAACACGATAACATAATGAGGGTCACTACATGCAAAATGAAGCATTGAGAACTTTGCAATTGTACAGACAGTTTAATAAGAAGATACTTTATAAAGACAATACACTTCGTGAATAGAGGTAGGAGCCATTTTGGAAAACAGTCGAACCATGTGACAGTCGAACTGTGACTTGGAATCTCTTATGAAAGTATGCTGTCTGTACACTTACAAAGTTCTCAATGCTTCGGTTTGCATGTTGCTCATTATGCTACAATTTTGAGCCATGTTATCAACTAGCGATTTTTATTTTTCATTACCCTATGCCCTACAGTATAGCATTATAATTTAGAGATTAAACTCGTTACATTCGATTATCATGAAAATGAGCATGAGCGCCGGAATTTTCCTTTAAGTAAAAGTATTAAAGTATACCAAAAGTACAATCTTTTAGCCTATTAAGTACATTCTTATGTTAATGTATGTGAAGTATACTTAGTATAAAATAAATGTATTTCAAAGGAGAGTTTTCGCATTTGGCTCCTAAACTGTGGGATAGACTTCCAAGTTCCTAATGTTTGGGGCTCAGACTCACTCCCATCTAGATTAAAGATGGATCTCTTAAGCCAAGCATTCAAATAATGCATCACATAACTTAAAATTTTATGAACAGCAGCTACGCTATTTTTTTTCATGCTTTTCTGTTTCAACCTCTGGATGCCGTTTCGCGAATTGAAAAGATGTGAAAAGTGCTATGGAATTAAAATGAAATGAGAATAAGAATAACTTTAGCTTTCTTTTCATGTAGACTTTTTAAGTGTGGTGATCTTACCAGATTTTTGGGGATTACTCAAACTGAAAATTTTTGGGAACTTTTGGGGATTACTCAAACTGAGACTGTCAGAAACATTGCAGATCTAATGCAGCTTTGAGTGTTTCTACCCACAGAATGAACTGAGCATTATAGGATGGAGTGGCTTAGAGGTTAAAGACCTGGGAGATGCATTTCTCAAAAGCATCATGCGCTAAGTTGATAATAGAGACCATTGGTGCAATGGTTGTACGATTAGGCTTTTGATGTTTTTGTGAAATGCAGCCCTGGGCTGGTTACTGTAAGCTTGCACGTTTGACCCCACAAAAGATGAACCTCTAAGGATTGTACCTTATGGGCGACTTGATGTGAAGTCATGAAAACAAATCTCATTCAAGAAGGAACACGGGCCAATCACACGTGACTCTTTTTACTTGGGATAATAAGTAACACCAAAAAACCAACCAGCCTGACAACCACCAACAACATCATGTCATTGTGGTAAAGCCCGACCGATAAAGGATTTTGAAGGCCGATACCGAAACAAATATTTTTGGGTTTTAAAATCCGATATTCCGATATATTGGCCGATATTTATTTTTATTTTTTTCAGAAACGCGCAACACAACATTAACAGATTTTCCTAACATTAGTTATTTATGAATTTTAACTAAATTAATATGCTAATGCATTTTAAAAAGAAACTTGTTTCTTTTATTGTCACAACAGAACAGACTGATTGGAGTTGCATTAGCTAGCTTTGTGGTTAGCTAGTCTATGATGAGCCATAATTTAGTAATAATGTCATACTGCAAATTGCACAAATTTTGTCATGCTTATTATTTCAGTTAAAAGAACTGATGGGGGTGATCTTTTAATTGCTCTTCAAGCAATATATGTATTGTGATCAACTCAACGATTGTTGCCAACAGGGTTGGTGTAGACAAGTGCCCTCTGGTGGACAAACTATACAACTCCAACTCTCATGACATGGTTCAAGCGTGTTTCGTCCGTTTTTGTTTTATTTTTGAAGTATCCATTTATCGGCCATTATAACTGCCGATACCGATAGTTTAGAAAATGCCTAATATTTGCCGATAGTATCGGTCAGCCGATATATCGGTCTGGCTCTACATTGTGGCAGCAATTTTTGGATGGTCAAGCACAACTCTTTTTTTCCTTTTTCTTGGTAAAATGTAAACACTGTAAAAATGTAAGTTCCTCTGGTATACTCTTTAACAGCATAGCTGCATATTAAGCATAACCACAAGAGGGAAGCTCTAATGTTATATGATTTTCTTGAAGAACCGCTGAGATGTGAAAAATATCCACCATTCATTATCTATCACCTTTAATTTTGTGTATATATTTCAACACCTGTTTTATGCTGGTATGTGATTTCAGGTTGACTACTGTAGCCAGCTGAGTAAAAAATATTTCCGTCTCCACAGTACAAATGCACTGAGATCTCTCTCTGTTCTCAGCTAATAGATGACAAAACAAGTCATGTTTTTCTCAGCATTATGGCCGTCTCAGGAAACCTTCATGCTAACAGTACATAGTCTTAAAGCAAAGCTGTTCAAGGACAACACTTAAATCACTGTCCTCTCTGTCTTTGTACAAATGGTGAAATCAGGTTTTCCCCTTGCCAGGTTGTGCTTTCGTATTTAAAGGGGAAATTTACAGTCACCCAGTCATTAATCTGTTATTGTGTCAAATGTTACCACTCTTAGTTTTCTTCAAACTATTAATCTGTAGGCAGTTTGCTGTTATCAGGCTAACTAGTTATCTCACATTTTTATATAATGTAATATATACTGTTCAAAAAGCTAGGGCCCTGTAACATTATTTCATGATTTTGAAAATAAGTATTTTAGGCTCACCAAGGCTGCATTTATGTAATTGAAAATGAAGTAAAACAGAAATATTGTAAAATATTATTAATATCAATGTAAGATAACAATATATATATATATATATATATATATATGTGTGTGTGTGTGTGTGTGTGTGTGTGTGTGTGTGTTTATTATTTTTTCATGTGATGGCAAAGCTGAAAATCTGGCGTTTTTCATTATTATTAAAGTTGAA